GCCAGCAGTTAACGGCAATTAGAAGGTGAGAGTGCATGACTAGGGTCTGGTGCAGGTCCATCACAATCAATTAAGAGGTTCCATCAACCTACTGATGGCTAGGGAACTCAAGCTATAGACAGAAGTTAACAAAAACTAGCTAGTTATAAGAACCTCCTCCTTTATAACTAGACTCCTTTACCTGAAAGATGGAAGCTACTTTGTCAGATTGCTACTCCTCGGCAAGTTACAACAGCCAAAAAGAACTGGTTTGAGAGGCACATACAGCTAACAGCATCTGTCTGCTTCCAAGCAACTACCTTGCGCATCACTTAACATCCATCGGGACGTTCACACAAAGCAGATTCCTGGAGATCACTGCACATACACTGGCCACAAATAAAACATGCTTACACATCACTCGCCTTCAATTTAAGCCCATCTGCACTACAGTTGCAGGCTGCAGCTGTTCACGTTGTCTTGACAGGGCTGGAATTAAAGCTAAGCCAGGGTCTGTAACTCATAGTGACATCAACAGCTTGAATCAGCCAGCTGCCCACCTTGGAAGAGCAGAGAGCAATTCACATGTTCAGACAATGAAACCCGAGACACAAGTTTATTGCTGTAACACTCGAGAGAGGCTAGTCTTTAAATACACATAGTTCTCATCTCCGGAAGGAAGGCATTGCATCATGAGACAGAGGCCTTGGGAAGCACTGGCTCACCAGCCAGGCAAGAGGGCTTGAAGGGTCTTGCCTTTACTTCGTACGCATATCGACAAATGTGTCTTCTCCTACAAGGCCTCCAGTACCACAGCAAGCCAACACTGCTTTCCGTTTACTATGCTGATTTGTTGCCGTGAGAATTTAACTGGATGGAGTAAAGAGGAGACGCTGCTGGTACTCTCTGCTATGTTAAAGTAGAAGCTGAATATGCAAAGGATAGAGATTGTTCTGTGCCTAAGGGAAGCACAGAGCTGCACAAAGATGAACAGAGCAGAGGGACAGACTGTCAGAGCAGAAAAGTAAGAAGGAGTATGACAAGAAATCAGGGAGAAGTGGTATAGAGTGGCAGGTTTACAAATGTGGGGACAAGATACTTGAAATAATATGAATTACAGAGGAAGCAATACCATGAACATAAGTCTTGGGAACATGAGATTGTGAAACCCCATTTTGAATGGATTGATGGAGGTAAAAACCCAGAGAAGAGAATGCAATGTAGGATTTTTTTATAAGGAATTAGACATTAAGGGTGGCTTGTTTTATCACAAGAAGTGGCAGGTGAGTCACAGAATTGCTTAGGCTGGTTAGTCCAACCTGCTTGTTCAAGCAGGGTCAGCAAGAGCAGACTTCCCAGGACTGTCTCCAGTCTGGTTTTGAGTATTTTCCACAGATGAAGACTGCACAACCTCTCTGGACAACCTGTTCCAATGTTTGACCACCTTCAGAGTAAAAAAGTGTTTTCTTGTGTTCAGATTGAATTTCTGTTAATTCATTTGTTTGTTTGTCTTATTTGCCCGGAGAGGTTGTGGATGCCCCATACCTGGAAGTGTTTAAGGCCAGGTTGGATGGGGCTTTGGGCAATGTGGTCTAGTGGAGAGTGTCTCTGCTTGTGGCAGGGGCTTGGATCTAGATGATCTTTGAGGTGCCTTCCAACTCAAACCATTCTATGATTCTATGATTCTGTGATTTTAATTTGTGTCCATTGGCTGCTCTCCTGTCACTGAGCACTAGTGAAAAGAGCTTGGCTCCCTCCTCTTCATTTTCTCCCATCAAGTATTTATACAGATTGATAAGATCACTCTGACCCATCGCTTCTCCAGGCTAAACAGTCCCAGCTTTCTGCCTCTCCTCATATGAAAGATGCTTCAGTTCCTTAATCATTTTTGTGGTCCTGCTCTGGACTTGCTCCAGTATGTCCATGTTTTTCTTGTACAGTGGGCCCAAAACTGGATTCAGCACTCCAGATGTGCTGCGTACAGAGGAAAGATCTCTTTCCTTGGCATGCCAGCAATGTTCTTCCTCATGCAGCCCAGGATGCTGCTGGCCTTCCTTGTCATGAGGGCATATTGCTGGTGGATGGTGAGCCCCTTGTCCCCAAGGAGCCCAAGGTCCTTCTTTGCAGAGCTACTCTGCAGCTGCTTAGACCCCAGCATGTACTGATGCCTGGAGTTATTCTTACCCCAATGTAAGACTTTGCGTTTCCCATTGTTGAACTTCATGAGATTCCTCTCTGCCCAATTCTCCAGCCTATCAAGGTCCCTCTGAGTCGTAGCACAATCCTCTGGTGTAACAGCCACTCTTCCTGGTTTTGTATCATCTGTGAACTTGCTGAAGCAGCACTTTGACCCACCATCCAGGTCATTAATGAAGAAGGCAAACAGTATTGGCCCCAGTATCAATCCCTGAGGTATACCACTAGTGACTTGCTTCCAACTTCACTTTGTGCCACAAACTCTGGGCTTGATTGTTCAGCCGGTTTTCAATTCATCTCACTGTCCCTTTATTTAACTCATACTTTGTCAGCTTGTCTACTAAGATGTTGTGGAAGACACTGTTAAAAGCCCTGCTAAAGCCAAGGTAAACAACATCTCATTGCTCTCCATTCATCCAACAAGCCAGTCAGCTCACTGTGGAAGGTTATCAGGTGGGTTAAGCATGACTTCCCCTTTGTAAATCCATGCTGACTACTCCTGATCACTTTCTTGTCCTTCCTGAGATGGATGGAAATGATGTCCAGGATTAGTTGCTCCATTACCTTCCCATGGATTCATGTGAAGCTGATTGGCCTGTCGTTCCCTCAATCATTGTTTTGCCCTTCTGTAAGATAGGTATGGCACTTTTGCTCTTCCAGTCTTGAAGAACATTCCCAATTGCCACAGCCTTTCAAAGATTATCAAAAGTGCCCTGCCAATGACATAAGTCAGCTTTCTTAGCACTCCTGGGTGCAACCCGCCAGGCCCCAGGGACTTATGCATGTCCTTTGTTTAAGTACTCCCTAAACTGGTCCTCCTCCACCTAGGGTAAGTCTTCCTTGCTCCAGACTTCTTCTTTGGTTGCAGAGCCTTGGGATTCCTGAAGGGTAGGATCATTTGTGTACAGCAGACCTAATAAGGTGCTCTGAATTTACTTGTAATCCAAGGTGGAATTAGGTGCATACAAATCCAGTATAGAGATAGGTGTCTTTCTGATAGTGAAATAATAGCATATGGCTTCCCACAGATCATACTTCCTTAGGAGCACAAGGAAAACTAGGACTAGATTTTTGATGCTACTGCCACTTCTTTTCTTAGGAGCATCTGCTTTTCTGAAAGGAGGAGGCAAAATTACAGGAAATGCACAGAGAAAAGCTGCTCTTATAACATGTTCCATTTCCATAAAGATGGTGAGGGTTAACATTTTTGTGCTGTTATTGGAGAGCTATATGTGCTCAAAGAGTCCATTTTAGTTCTTGGTACAAAACCCATTAATTATCAGGAAGAAGCAGCAATATGTAGAGACAGAAAAAAACCCCCTATTTGTAGGCATTTCTGGAATGTATTTGCATTCAGTCATCTGATTGATTCCCCTTTTCAGGTTAAAGACTCATTACCAGGAGGAAAAAAAAAATCTTACCATGTAGATCAGCTGAAGCCTGTAAGAACCCCCAAATCCCTAGCCTATTAAATTTGTTTCATCTACTCTCCTCTGGCATCCATGCTAACAAGGAAGATGACTGATGTCATTGTAATGCCACTCAATCATCTTTGAAAGGTCATGGCAATTGATAGAGTTCCTTAAGACTGGAAGAGAGCAATTGTCATTTGTATCTTCAAGTGCACAGAAAAACCTTTTGAGTTCTTTACTATTGAAAGATAACACAGAAGTCCTGATTCCACAAAGCAGTGATAGGTATGTTTGACTTCATTGTTTCTTGTCCTTTTAGAATGCCCTGCATGTCAAGTTCTTCCATCCAAAGGAAGACTTTTCAGCCTGCCTGACAGAACAGACCTGAGAGAAAAGGTTGTTTTCCACAGAGGGTAACTTCCTAGCATGTCTGATCAAACTGATTGCAACTGTGCAGGTAGTAAGCCCTTGTCTTTCCATTCTATGACCTCACCCTCATCTTCTCTAACATAACTGAAGAGACCTATTTAATTTACAGCAGTAACTGTAAATTCCCCTAATACTTTAAGAAGTATTCAGTGAAAAAATTCCCTTCAGTAGTATATAAAAAATTAATTCACTGATTTTTTTTTTTCCATCAAGTTTTCTGGACAATCTCTATTATACCTTTATTCTTCAGATTGGATTCCCAAGGCTCCTTCTTCACACAACACTCTCTGAGACCTTCGGTATCATTGACGGTGGAACTTCTGCAACTCTTAACATAGAAAATCTTACTGAAATGTTAGCGAAGAATCTAATACTTCTTCCTTGGACTAAAGTCCTGTTGGCTTCCTTAGAAACAATAAAGCAGTGGCCTTTTCTTGATTTGATTTATAGACACAGAAGCATTCCATGAGGTGCAGAATGAGTATCTTGCCTTGTCCAAACCCAACTCAGGTCACAAATGCCCAGAAAGAATCTGGCTGCATAGAAACAACTCATGCAGGAGAGATACTACACATAACTCTTTAATTTTGAGTCTATTTCTGCTGTAAATTATTTTTCAAAGTGTGATGTTTTTGAATTGGGTTATTTGACCCTAAAATGGCTGACAGCCATTTGAAATAAAGGGATTGTTGAAGTATATGCTAAAGTAGAAATCAAAACTTACTGCAGACTGTTGCAAGGTAAGGAAGTCAGGTGAAGAAGGTTTTGGCAAAAGTGAAAAGTCATTCTTTATTGACAGAGATTTTTCTTTTTACCTTTCCAAATTAATTGTAATTTTTAGTAGAACTGTGAAAGGTAGTTCGACTGTATGGGAAGCTGAGTAGTCAAGAACTTCTGAAGGATCTGGCAGAACTTTCTCATTCCCCTCCTTTCTGGTGTAGTCAGAAGGTATTTGGACTGAGGGAATATTCCTGAGGTCATCTTTCATCTGCATAAACAATGTTTCCAAACAGGAGGGACCTCCTTGTAGTCTCCAACTGAGCACACTGCATGCAACAAATCTGAAGTGCAGGTATTTGGTAATATCACAACCATGTTCATGAATTTGCTCACTTCTTTTTCTGCAAGTTGATATCCAAAAATTTTTTTTTGGAGCTGTGCACACTCAGGATGTTCTCCTGGGATAAAGACAACAACAGTTGTATGGTTGAATTCAATACGGAAGGTGAGGTATTGCACCACTTTCCCTATCTGAGTCTCAAAGTAGTCTACCATCTGAACATATAGGAAGCCTCCATTCAGCTGCCTTGTCACAATATAAATTAGCTTGACTTTTTTTTCCTTGGTGATCAAAGCAGTAGCATCCGTGGGAATACTTGTTTTCCCAGTCAGAGTCCAGTTCTCTTTCCTCCCATCACCGTACTTGAAAGTGTTAGAGACCTATTTTCTTCCGTCAGCACAGTCCCCAAGGGAGTACAGTACTCCTCCACAAGTCACCATGATGTGGAAGACCAAACCTATAGGCACTACCTTAGTCCAGGAATTGTTTTCCATATCGCATCTCTGAGCTGTCTGTGAGGTGGTGATCTGGTCTGTTATTTCTCTAGTGACACCAACTGCTAATGTTGCACTATGAGCAGCTGCTTTACATGGCATCTCTGTCAGTTTCAGACACGTGAAAGCTCAAAAGTATAAGCAAAACCTTCATCATGAAATCTTACATCCTCTTTCGGGCCTCCTAAAATCATTATAATTAATGACCCTTTCCTCTGGAAAAGAAAGCAGTCTTCAAACATGTTCTTTCGTCCTGTCACTCAAAATCATTTCCATCTGAGCCAGAGGACTAGAAAGACTGTTGAGTGTCAGCATGTCATGGCTGGTAGCCACCAGCGTGTTGCTTGAGACCCCAAGTAAGTGGATAAAGACAAAAATCTCACTGGAGTATGCTTATCTTTTTTCTTTCCTGATTTTCACTTACTCGATCAAGGCCAGGAAAGCCTGATTCTCATTCTGCTCCTGGAGGTCATCCTCTTTGAAGAGCCTGCCATGTATCTGACAGGGGCTGCGCATCAGTTCTGAGGTGCATAGGCACATCTCACCACCTCTTTAAGCTCACACATGGAGGCTATGAGCATGTAGAAGAGGCAACTTTTCTCCACAAAGGACCTGAGGATAAAAACAGAGCTGTGAGCTTTCACTTGAACTAGGTTGCCACTTTCAGCAGTTCCTCCATATTATTATGATACATTGTTTCTTTTCTGTGAACTGCATCTTCCCACATTTAGTCTTGCAAGTCCAAGGCAGAGATGGTAGTGTGAACTTTCAGACATCAGTTGTTATGGTGAGATGTGTGGTGTCATAAAATACAGCTGCTAGAACACAGTATGCTACAGGTATTCAAGTGTTGAGGTGAAAACAATCTATCTCCTAGGGCCATCTCTAATGTTCTAGCATAACACAGAACAGGTCAAATAAGAGAAGAAAAATAAAATTAGGCTCTTTTCTCATGAACCTCCTTTCTCAACAGTCTGGGTATAACAACTAGAGCTATCTGCAGCGTGTCAGACAAAATCAGTACTGCCCCACAGTTGGGAGCACACGTTGAATACTGAAAAAAGCAGGATCTGGTGCAGCATTGGCAGGAAATGTGCATGCTGGCCTCCCAAGGAAGTAAATTTATCAGGTAACTGCTAGCAAGAAATACATCCTGTCTTCTGTTTTCCAAGTTATCTACGTAAGTATGTTACTTTTCCCAAGAAATATTAGGATTTTGAAAGGCTACATAGGAGGAACCCTAACTGCACTTTAAAGATGCAGACCAAGGGAGGGACATCTGCTAGAATACTACTTCATGCTGCCTTGCAACACTGACAAGTAAGTACCTTTGAGCGGCAGACGGAAATATGGCTAATTTAAGCTTCTCAGACTATCTCATCTTTTCCAGCCATCATATGCATTTCAGCTGGCTCAAGAATGCCAGCTGCTTTTCTGAGGTAGGTGGTATGATGTCAGTCACTCCCCTCCATGCTCATTCCATACAGATACCATCTGTCCATAAAGAGCTGACCCAACTGACCTCCACCTCCAAGAGCACTGGTGCACAAGGGTTTCTTTCCAAGGTTCTGGAAGCCTGCTCTGTATGTCAGGATCTGAAGCTGATGTTCATTGTGCCCTCTGATCAGCTGGAGAAAAGCAACAGGATCCAGATTCAGGATGTGCCTCTCACAGTGGGAGTGAATGCAAATTGATAAGGACTTGTGACTAAAATCTACAAACCAACTGGGAATGGGTTCAGCTATGACCTCAGCCCACAGATTGCAGTGATGAGGCAGGTGTGAAGTCAAGCTGTGATATCAGCCAGGCAGGTCAGGAGGCTGAGGTATAGACCAGAACTCCTACAGCACCACAGAGACAGGAGTGACAGCCCCAGGCTCACGACTGCTGTGCCCATGGACCCTGACACTAAGTATTGTGTTTATTCTCACTGTTTTGTGTGTCAGCCCAGGCTTCCCGCACCACATACTTTTCAACTGCTACTCTGACAACAGATTTATTCCTTTCTGTCCTATGGCTCTCCCTTGTGCCTTTTAGAAGAATGTGGAAGCTTTTTAAAGTAATAATTTATTTTTACACACCTCTCAGCAAGGTAAGAGAGAATTTTTCCTCCTCTTCTCTGCCTTTAATTTACAGAGTGTACATTCCTCCCTCCTCTGCCCCTGCAGAGTAGAACTGAAGAACAAGATTAGAGTGGAGAGTGTCTATTTATTCCCAATGCCAGTTCAAAGATACCAAAGACCAGGTATTTTATACATATTGTGTAGGTTCAGCACACTTCTACTGGTTTGTAGCTGCAGGAATTCAACACTTCTGTAAACTAAATCATAATGCCTTGAATAAGTCAGTGATAAAATAAAGAATTCAAATTGGTAATTAGATGTGAAAAGCTTGTTTTAGTGATTTGCCCAGTATCACCCAGCAACACAGTGGCAAATACAGGGCGAATTAGAACTGACTTAATTTAGGCACCAGCTTTTCTCTTCCCTAAAGCTTTGATCATTGTCAGCCTGCTGTCTTCTAAAACAGAAGAGACTTTAGGACAGTCACCTCCACTACACTTGGTACAGCCTGGGGCAAGATTCCCTTTGCCAGGGTGAGGGAAGGGATATTTTGCTGACTGTTCTGTAAGTATGCTAAAAGAGGCAAAGGTGATGACTGACAAACATTCTTAAAACTAGCAGCCCTTACCTTGTGAGGTTTTTGTAGCCCTGAACATGTGCTTTGTGTCATAGCCCTAATGACATGCATTGTGAAATCAAAAAGTAGTGTGTCCCAGTGATATACACGGGGTTGGAACATATAGATGGCTGCTTCTTCAGCACAGGAAGAGATCGAAGGAGAAGAGACAGTTGTGTTGAAAGGAGAGAATACGCTGATGGCAAGCCTCTGGTTAAATTCAGGACCTGTACCAATTTTGAATGTATTCTGATGGATCACAGCCCTTCACCTGTGACTTTTTAGGAAAAAGAAGATCTTTAACATCATCCGTTCTGTATCCTTTACTGTCTCTCTCCTGCCTTTTTCTCATGCAGACTCCTTATTCCTGGGAATAGTCTCATATTAGTCATCCCACTAGGTAAAGGCTCTTTGAGTTTCATGACTCAGTCCCCTCATCTGCTGTTTCCAGCAGCATTTCTCATGAAAACAGTCTCCTTCAAGTTCCCCTGTTCCACACCTTTCGGTCCAGCTTCCTGGGCTCCTCAGCTCTTCGGCTTCACCTCATTCTCCCCAGTCCACTGACCCAGTATCAGGCAGTGCCACTCTTTCTTCTCTTACTATTGCTTAGTTTCTCTTTATGTCTTTTCCTTTCTGAATCCCTCCCCAACTCTGTTACCTGTACTCACTGGTTGTCAGGCACAGTTGTCTTGCTCACACCGTCCCAGACAGCCTCTCCAAATACTTTATCCAATCTCAGTCTTCCCCTTCTTCCCTGTGGAAGTCATTTAAACAATCATTCAAACTCTACAAGTCTATCCATTACTGCAACTTACTGAACTGCTAGAATGTCTCGACTCATTCAAAATACACAGGCTTGCTTTCAAACTTGCAAGAGAAAGTTGCACAGAGCAAAAGGGAAACATGCTGGTAATCTTGGCTAGTCAGAACTTGGGAGGAATCTTAAGTTCAGATGCTGTGTTGTAATAGAAAAAATCTACAGAAAACAAATTCTTGCTGTCACCACAAAGAGGTATACTGCCTGTGACCGTCGTCTGGGTGGCCTAGTAAAAATAATATTGCCATTGCTAGTAAGAAACCTAATGCTGGCCTTGCAAGGCCACAGAACCGGTGGGCTGTTAGACTTGTTATCAGCTTGTGTGAATTTGCAGTGCAAACTGAAGCTTGGTACCAGGTGTCTTTTGTTATGATGTGGAGTTTAAGCATGGGATAATACCAGAGACCTTGAAAGTATGTGCATCAGCTGAAAACAGAGGCCACAAGACTGTAAACATCTCTCTGGCAGTCAGCTTCTGCTTATTGAAGAATTAAAACTTTAAGAGCTGGGAACACTGCTTTAGACATAACAAAGAAGTCAAATAACAGGACAAGGCAAATGGTGTGGCCAGGGGAAATTAACACCCACCGGCATTGCACAGCATGTAGTCCAAGGAAAGGAGACCAAAGACTTAGAATCCATTGAGAAACTCAAACATTTTATAAATGGACTAGATCTTGATATTGAAAAGGAATTGCTTCTTGCAAATGGTCATCATCACTAGATCATCATGGAATTCTCTTCCTACAAACTGTCAAAGCTGCAAGCACGTTACCTGCTTCAAGGACCATGACTCATCAAAGGTCTTCTGTCATGCCAGCCAAGCTCCAGGACTGTATAAAAGTCTGTGTCTGAGTGCATAAACTACATGCACTTGTTGTGTAAAGCTCTGTAATTCCTGAATAAAGTGTTACTGCATGTAAATTCAATTTGGCTAGTGTAACAACTATCACACTCTGATCAGCCCTAAAATGGTCAGGCAATTGGACTAGATGATCACTGTATGTCTCTTCCAACTGGAACTGAACTGTTCTATTCAAAGTATAATTCTCATTATTGAGCACAAATTTATCCATAAAATCCTCAGTGTGAGATGGCTGTCCCACTGAAGTAAAAGACAAACCTCCAACAGAACCAGGGTTCTAGACATAATGCAGTTTCACAGAATACAATTTTGGAATTGGTGTTGCCACACCCTCACGAGGAATTAAATGGTAGGCAGTATAAAACCGCCTGAGTTGGAATAGTTCTCTCACTGTTCCACAGTTTCTATACTTTTATTGTTTGTTTCTTGCTTTTGTGATTTACATTAGAATTATCTGTATAGCTGCATATCCTCTTACCTCCAATTCTACTGCTTTAATACAGCATAAAGAAAAGCACGAGGGCTCAGTCTTCTGTCTTTTTAGACTATGGTAGGCAAAATGGTGTTCTGCCATTGTAAAATTATTCCAGAAGTTAATTATTTGTGTTTTGGAGGCATCTTTTTTCCTACTTCTTTACCTGAGGGTTGAACAAGGAACTTACCACAAGAAAGAAGGGTGTGCCTGTTCTGTGGAGCTGGCGGTAAGCGTTTGTGTAGGAAGAACCCAGAACGCCTAATGAGCTTCAAGGAACAAGTTGGGGCTTTGGGCTGCAAGCCATATTGTTTAGTTGAGAAACGTCTCATAGTGTAAACTGAAATTCAGCAAGACATAGCACATTAGAGACTTGCTTCAGTATTACAATTAAGAAATACTTTCTTAATGAAGTGCTCTTTCAATCAACTAACTTTTGGGGAAAACTTCATTTTAATTATTCTCAGCATTTATATGCATTCTCTATTAAGGTTACACTCATAAGTTGATTTGCACAGCCAATAATACGTGTGAGTTTTAATAAATTGTTAATTTTTATGGCCGTAAATTCAATAGATTATGGTATGGCCTTCAACCCTTTATAATTCCTGAAATCATATTATTATGGCCCATTATGGGGTATACCTGCAACACACTTTTAACTTTTTATTCTCTCTCTAGAA